AGCCCCAATTATGGCCCCACTAGCAAAACCGATGATTAAAACTATGCTAGCTGCCGTAGTTGAACTCATCTAAATAGTTTTTTTTTAGCTGGAATAATAAATTATAATACACGTTAAGGTACATTCAGGCTGAGAGCGTCGAGCGTCGCGTCCGCCCCATTGAACTCGAACCCCGACGCTCAGCGGACGCTAGCGCAACACCAAACGCGACGCTGCCTGCCTGAACGGTCTAATTTAAGTTAAGCGAATTGATTCCATTTTGACACGCGGACGTGACGCTCGACGCTCTCAGCCTGAATGTACCTTTAGACCTCCTGAAGATATCAAAATATTTACATTTTTATTTTTAGAATTTCCAGAAATTATACTTCATAACAATTTTAGAATAATTATATAATTTTTTTTTCGTATACTCGCTATTTTAACCCGTGTATTTGTATATACTAGTAGATTTTTAATTATAACATTATGCAAGAAACATGCACTCTTAAAATGGTAAATTTTGCAGTAAACACATTTTGATGAAAATATGTTTGTTCCTTAAAAAAATTGTTTCTTATAATATAATTTTTTACCTTTTTCACTTCTGCATTTTTTCATTTAATGACACTCAAATGTTTCGTCTAGTAGTTTTCAAAAAGTTCTCGCAATTTAGAGATTCGGTGAAAGCTTCAGAGAACAACACCCAGTCGTATTCCTCAAGTTTTCTTTTTCTTGAAAAATAAAAACCACAACGACACTTGGCTTTTATTATTTAGTTTTAATGGTGTATTTATTTTATTATTATAATAGTGGCATTTATTAAAAAAAGTGGTCCATCCCATAATTTTTTTTAATTTTTGGGATTTTTTTTTATATTTTATGATGTGCCATTAAAAATACAATAAAATTATATAAGGATTCTTGCCACTTAACTGCTGATCCTCTTTTTAATTTAATTTTACGCTGTGTTTGTCATAATGCGGATCAACCTGCTCTCACTACCGGTTTCGGAGCCCTATTCCATCATCAGGTGAGCTTGGGAGATCCACAAAATGACAACCACAGCGCAGAGATAGTTAATTGCGACTTGTCGGAAAGTGTCGGTTAGATATTAAGTCCCGAACGGGAGATAGCGGCCTGCGTGCAATGGTAGTACTTTCGTACCACCGAGGCGCAACTATCGATAGTAAAAGGATGGTAAAAGGCTTTTTTTCAGGCAAGCCAAATTATAAAATAGAAAACAAATTTCTTGCATTAGAGGTAT